CTAAGAGTCGTTTTGCCAAATCGCTACCGCATCACTCTAGCAGCAATAAGTGGGGCAAGCGCCATAAATGAATCCCATAGTTGTGATCAGAATACGAGGAATCCTCGCACGAAGGTTTATAGCAATGCTGGTGGAATGTCGACAGTGCCAAAGTGGTGTTAATGTCAAGTAAGAGTGTCACATCTTACTGATCGAGGAAAGTATTGCAGAACTCACATCAAAGCTAGTTTGAGCATACGACATGAAGTTGGGTGGCAACAGGGCATAGTTCCTGAAATACTGAGTAGTCGATCTCTTTCCCAGCGCAAAATAAATTCAAATGATCAGCCAGTTTAAGAAAAAAAGTATGAAAGGGTCTATGATAGCCAATCATCTGAAGGTGCTCCAGTTCCCGTTTTCTTAGCCAGGACCATCCAATGATCTAACACGTTTTCAGCCCCTACCGGAGTGGTACCGTCATCAGCGCTCGAGTAGCCTTTTTCTTCTTCTCGAACAAGACTGATGCCAAACGACTGACAAAAGCAAGTAAGGGAGGGTGACGTGAGCAAGAACAGATGCATACACAGGGTGCAGCACCGTGATGTGTGAAATGGTGGTGTCAGTACGATCCTCCCCCTCGAAGGCGGGTCTCGGTACGACCCCCCTTCCCCTATACCTACCTACCTACCTACCTACCTACCTACCTACCTTGCTACAAGCCCCCAGCTTCCCACCAGCATTTCCGAAATTACCCAGCTTTAGCAGAGTGTTTTTTCTACCCAGCTTTTCCCGTCGAGCGAATTGGTGGGGTGATCGCTGCGCTCGCAACAGACACACCGCAGCGGCAAGACACGCGACGCCGCTGCGGTGTGTTGCGAGCGCGGCGATCACCTGTTTCCAGCCTATTTTAGTCATTTTCTCCCTAGTTTACGCTGTTTTGGCTGCTTTTCTCACGATTAGTTGTTTCTTGTCTTCACAAGTAAATTATGATTGAGATTCTTCTGGTTTTTGCGTACAATTAAACAGTTAAGCAGACAATCGAACAAATAGCTGAAAAAAATCGCAAAAACACTCTATTGCAAAACAAAAGAAAACACTCCTCGTCCTAATATACTTCATATAGACGACAGAACAACTAACCTCAGGAAAAATGAAAATAATCGCGAGAGTAGCCGCCAAAACAGCGTAAGTTAGGGAGAAAATGGCTGGAAACAGCTGATCGCCGCGCTCGCAACACACCGCAGCCGCGTCGCGTCCCTTGCCGCCCACAATCAAGTCACCGGATGACGACTGCATATAGCCAATATGGAGTGAGAAAAACCGCGAAACGTCAACCGGGGTAAATTTTTCCCAGCGCGGCAAATATCTCTTGAAGGCACATACGATCTCCCTCCCAACAACGACCAAGTACGACCCCCCTCCCCAGCGGCCAAGTACCACCCATGCACATGTGTTGTCCAAACGATGGCTAGTACCCTGTGCATCAGTGCTCGCAAATGGCAGCTTCGGATTGGACCACAGCTTTATAACTGCTCGAGGAAAAATCAAAGGTAAAAGATCAATAATGGATTGATGATAATTAATCCTGCCTTCAACTTTATCTGAATTGGATTCAGAAGCGTCTACCTGCTTGGTGGGGATATTTTACTAGTTAGCATCACACTCTCACAGCCTCCTAAAAAGAACCCGTAAGTTCTTGTGAAGCTAGTGAACCCCAGTGAAGCAATAGCACTAGCTTTCTTCACCTGGCAATAGTTTACAGGCCTCGTCAACGTGAAACTTGTGATTCAACGGAGGAACCAAAGAAGGAAAGAAAAATCATCAAAAAAAAAAAACCGCTAATAAGAAAAGTTCTTCTCCCCCACCCCCCTCCTGAGCCGAACACCCCTAACTCAGCTCTACAAACCTATGAAATCCTTTAGCGACTCCGTGTGGTCCTTCGATGTCACTCGAATGTATCATGACATGGTGACTTCCACTCAGACGAGCGATGCCGTAACCGCACACAGTAAAAAGCGAGTCGGCGAAAATCAAACTCCAGTTTCCTGAATATGTATAAATTGTATAAAGTGTCAAATATCAAACTCCTAGAGGCGTCGGGAAACAACACGATGCAGTGCTAAGAAATCTTCCCAGAGGATGCTTTCGAACGAGTTCGGGTCACACAGAAGGCGTCTAGGCGGTGGAAAACTCCTACTTGAGAGTTTGTCCATGAGGATCGCGTGGGCGGATGCAAGCTCGGCCATTGTCTTTTCGTCGGGGCTACTCCTCCCGAAATGATGAAATAAAGAGGCGGTAATGAGGAAGACGTGGTTGACCATCTCCGCCCACACGATCAGTGTGAACTGAATCTATGAGCGAGTTGAGTGGTGAACCGAATATATGTAGGTCTAATCGCTGTGAGTGGCCGGATTTCGTTCTGTAGTGACAATTATCGGTTGTGGGTATCATGATTACTCGAGAGGTGCAACACAGATCGTTCACCTCTAAAAAGTACCATGTAAAATATCAACAAAGAAGTTTTAAAAGAAAGATGCCCTCTGACGCCACTAACACGTCATCTTCCCTTGAGAAGTTAAGCGCTGCGCTGCGTACCCGTGCTACACCTGCGGTACGAACGCTTCCAAAGGAGGAAACAGTAGGCGCAGGATTCGGTGCTGTGATGGTATCGAAGTGGGACAAGACGAAAACCAGCACTATACCCACCACACTTCTTCGCGGATATCGAAAAAAAATGCAAAATGACCGCGATGGTTAGGCTTTTTTGACTGTGTGACCAGGGCTATGCGGTGGGACCCTCGCTGGAACCAAGCAGCGGCCTTCTGACTCTTCTGAGACCCATAGGAAGCCAAACAGAGTTGGTTCGTGATCAGCCCCAGGTAGCGTGTTGGGTCACTCCAACAGATCCTAACGGAGAGTTTGACGGCTGCTCACTAAACAGCCAGTGTACAGAACCTTCTTGAAGGCAGGTGGCATGATATCCAAAAAGGGTGTAGGATAAATATGCCTAGCAGGATAGATTTCAGCCCCCGCAAGCAGGAGCTATTTGGCGCCTTTCTCAAGGAAGGCGCTCTTATTGCGACCTATCAAGCTGCAACTACCGACCCGGACGCCCACCGCTCCCGCTCGCCCATAAGTGTCCGACCGATGCTGATGCTTATGGCCTCATCTGTGAAGTAGAAAAGGAAGCGAAGCGATTGATATGGAGCGAGTGCCGTGCTGCATGGATATATGAGAACATCATGTAGCTGTATGTACCTAGCGGTGATTGGCACGATGCCAACGTAGAACTCGTCCGAAATTACTTTCTGAATTGTGCAGAACCAAGGCTTTTTTGCGGGTTTTTGACCGCTTCACTACGCTTGTTCGCCATTTTTTCACTATATAGCAAGCACCCTTGGTACCACTTCAGATTGAGCACCAAGTCGTACCTTATGCCTTTAAAGATGATAACCACACCTTGAACAAGACGATCAAATTCACGTCGGCGCTGTTCTAGGACGAGGGTACAAGAACCAGACTGAACATGAAAGGGTATGACCTGGAATGCTCTGATTACTCAAAATAAAGAGAACGATTCCAATAAAAGCCCCTGAGCTTCAGAAATTTCAGCCTCAACCCAAAACTTTTCACCGCACCAACCTGTATTCATCGTTCCACACCAATGAACCAAATAGCTCACCATCAAACGGACTTGATCTAACTGTAAATCGAAAATTTATTCAGAAACTGAAGAAGTAATGTCAAATGCTTGCCAAAGGAGGGACTTAGAAGCGGAATTTTTCTCATGGAGCTTGCCAGGTTTCAAGGGCGACGTTGGGACTGCCAAATGGGTGCAACCGGAAAACAATCTCATCGGCTTGTGCCCCCATTTGCCGCCTTCTTCACCGGTAAGAGACGAACAAACGTGAAGAGAAAGAGCCGGCCAGAGAAACAGTTTGAGTGGGTCCGCCCACCCTGGTGCCCTCTGACGTCAGCGAATGGATCCGAATTTTAAGTAGGCGTTCACCATGCACACCACAGTGAGCCCACGTCGCGATGTCGAAAGGTAGCTAGGGTATGGGCCATAGCTGCGAGACCAGGGATATTCTCAGCTCGTCTGCGCCCTCTCAGTGTTATAGTGTCTCATGTGTGGGATTGACACTGTCGCGTCAGCTGTGGTCTGCTCGAAGGCACGTTGCATGAGGACGAGGAAATGGGTGGCGACATCAATCACTGTGTACCTCCTGGCTAAATAATAAAGGCTGGTGCACACCCCTCCCCCTCCCTCCATCTGACTATCGCAAAATGGAGCTGTTCAGATAGTAGGCGCAAGATTCAATCGCAATTGATGCCATTTTACGCCTGCTGGGGAGATGAATCCAACGTCACGTCATATAAAATTGAAGACAAACTGTACACCTAATCCTTGCCATCATGCCCCCTCCTACCCTTATGCGATGTGAATGAGTCCACAGCTGCTGTAGCGTACCACTTTCGAAAATGCACGGAAATGGGGCTAGTGATATCCAGGTGTCGTCTTCATTAACTGTTCCGCACCGCCGCACGGCTAGCCTCACGCCTAACCATGACCAAATACGCTGGTTGTCTGCGTGCTCTCACATCTAGTTGTTCTCTGCTGTTGACTGTGCCTTTTGACGGATTTTGGAATAGACACATGTGCTGCGCATTAAGGATAGTGCGGGCGAGTCGGTAGACGGTGCGCAGGTATCACTGCTCTCCAATCCCATTCGCCTTGGGGGGGGGGGGCGGTAGCGCGCTAATTACCTCGCGCATGGCAAGGACCCTCAAAATTCAAGGTGCAGTTTGTTTCTGGAAAAAGCACAGATAAGGACTATGGGAGGTGAAAAAGCACAAAGACTAACATTCAGACAGGTCAATCAGCTCATTCTTCATGTGAAAATCCATTTCTGGCTTGTAGGTGTTGAAATACAAAGATACAGTATGATTATCATTCTGTAGACGACGCATAAGCGGTTGAAATGAGCACGTATGTGATCGGCCCTGATCCATGGAGACAAGCAGGAAATTTCCAGCCAGAACACATGGCAGCAGGAAATAGCCCGCAATAAGTAACATTACCCAGCCTAGAATTAGGTAAAGGATTGTATTACCAACACTATTTTTCAACGCATTGTAATCGTCAAGGTAAGTGTCAATCATTGAGAGACCTCTTAAGAAACCAAGAAGATAGCGCCGAATATGTAGTACTTGAAGCTCAAAAATAAGAAACGAAAATATAAAGAAAATCCGGAAAAACATGGAAAGTGCAGGGAGAGAATCAATAAATCAGTGTAAATTGTATCATCCGTCACCTTTCAAGTCTCGTTCTCTCGATGTGCAGGCTTAATCTTAGAAAGTTTCCTTTAGTAACAGCTAAACGAATAATTAAATAAATTAAAATAAATGTAAAATAAGGCCGTAACAAAAAGCTGCAAGGCGCTGGAGATAGCGGCCCATTGCACTGCTGGCCTTATCACTTGGTAAAATGGTGTCTGCGCTCGGTTGACCTTTTTGAGAGCCAAAAAATCAATTGTCTTCTTGAATAGAGGCAGCAGAGTTCAGTTGAGGGAACCAGGCCAAAATTGAGGATAAATAGGCAGAAATTCACCAAATGATGAGGTCCATATTGATAAGACGTACACTACGACATCATATCTTCGAAAATCAATGTTTCTGGGTCCACGATCCAGATTTCTTTGTAATTTGTAGCGATGTATTCGAGACAGTAGTTTTTTCTCAATAAGCAGTAGCTAGCACTTGAGCCAATATTTGAAGTAAAAAGGCAAGCAATTGACTCTAAGAATCTGAATGCAAGTGGAACGCACGGCTCACTCCTAAAGGGTTGATCTCCTCTGAGCGCCTCATTCTATCTGGAGTGTTGCGCCATTAATGCGCGCTGAGAGAGCTCACAGTGCATTCTGTTTACTGTGCCCTCGAAAGGTGATCACTTCCTGTCGCTGGGGAATATTCTGCAAAACATGACCCCCCTAAATTCCTCACCTGTACAGCCATCCCTCCCCATGCTACGTAACTCCTTCCGAGGTTTTTCCAACTTCCAATCACCTTTCCGACGCTTTTTTGCGGAAAAATCTCCACGGGGAGGGGTCGTCACCAAACAACTGCTAAATTCTGCCAAAAATAATAGTTTCGGTGTAGTTCTGCGGTTCCGTCAACCGGAGGTGCTACCAAATACGACACCTTCCGCTAAGCACTCTGCAGACTGCGACGTGCCCTGAAGGTATTACAATTACCAAATTAGTAAAAATTTTTCATCGCAAACTCGTCTGAGGCTCAGGATATCCACTCTGCAAGGCTAGCTTGACGCTCGCGGTATTTCTGATCCATTTGAGTAGATTTCTTGTGACAAGTTCGCTTTGAATCAAATAGATCCTGGTGCGAATGTCGCGCACGGACGTCACTTCCAACGCTACAAATCTTATCTCTTGACCCGCACTCGTGAAGCAGCGAGCCCATCCCCTTGTCAAATTATTATTATTTACTAGGTAGATGGCACAGTGCAACAAATATCAAGAGATCGTACGCACGGGATACGCCACGCTACACTGTTGCAATCGTCTGAACAACGCGTCTCGAGCATTTGTCATCAATCAGCAAGGGGCAATCAGCTGCGGGAAGATAAGAACAGAGTGAAACAGCGATTTCAGATCCTTTGGAGGGGAAACAGCTGAAATTAAATTTACAAATGGGGAATAGGAAGGGCTACATTATTCAGGTGCAACTTCTTCACCCTCGAGTTCACATCAGTGGGTGAATGAAGTTATAAAGCTACTAGGATTAACTAATCCTTATCTAGGATAGGCCGCTGGCATCTGGAATCGTAGAAGCTTTCGTGATTCTGAATGGAAGTAGAGCATCCCAAATCTCGCTGGGATTCCACGAAGTAGACGTGCCCTGGTAAAGAAACTGAGTGGCCCTAGTCACAGAGAAGTAAATAGTGGAAAAGTTTGAAGCTCTCGAAACTCTCATTTTTGCGGTTCCTGGAAATGTATGAGTACAGTGTGAACGAATGATTGAATTCCCTTCTGCTGGCCACTATTACTTTCAATTTTTTG